ACAGCGATTACCCTAGTCAGAGATTCATGAGTCTAACAGCCTCAGGGTAGAAGCTGTTCCTCAGTCCAGTGGTTCCACACTTAACGCTCCTCAACCTCCTTCCCGAGGGGAGCGGGGCAAAAAGTGTGTGCGCTGGGTGGGTGGGGTCCCTCATGATGCAGGTGGCCCTCTTCCCGCATCTGGAGGTGCAGATGTCTGTGATGGTGGGGAGACTGATTCCAACAGACTTAAGTGCAGCCTTCACCATCCTCCGCAAAGCTCCTCTCTCTGCAGCTGTGCAGCCTCCACGCCACACACTCCACGCACAGGACGCTCTCCACCGCACACCTGCAGAAGGAGGCGAGGACTGAGCTTCCCAGACCAGCTCGCCTCAGCCGTCTGAGGAAGTAGAGTCTCTGATGAGCTTTCTTGATCAGGCTGGTGGTGGTGTTGCTCCAGCTGAGGTTGTCATTCATGTGTACACCCAAGTACTTCTATAATGTAGGTGGCGCTGTGGAGACTATTGGCCACTTATCATGGATACTTGTTCAAGGGGTGGATAATGATTGATCATAGTGATTTTTGTGCACCTCGGCTGAAATCTGTGTATTTTAGAGCCAATCGTATTGCAACGGCGTCACTTCTGGATTCGCCACGTCGCCACGCCCACATTCTCCAGCAAAAACGGTTTGCACTTTAAATCAAATCAGACCATCTTATCTGTCTTCTAACGCAAGATCAACCTGATTAGGTCAATGGTGTCAAAGAGGGAGCATTCCAAGTAAAAAAAAAGAGACTTCTTGTTCTGAGGGGGTGGGGCTTTGATGACGTCAAAATATGACGACAGTGGATCGTCGGACATCCAACAGGGATGAGTCATGCCAAGTTTGGTGTATTTCGGTCTTTCACTGTGAAAGTTACAGCATTTGGAAATTTATGGCATGAAGTGCAACTTTGAGGCCTGGCCAAGCCCCTTTAACCTAAACAAAACTGAAAGCTTTTGATAACTTTTACTCCCTAATGTGTTAAAGGCATATTAACCAAGTTTGAAGGCAATCACTCAAAATCCCTAGGAGGAGTTCGTTAAAATTCGTCATTAGAAACGCCCAAAAATGACCCTTTGACCCAAAATGGCCGACTTCCCGGTGGTTTTGGACCAGGGCTCCAAGAGACTTTGGCATAGGTCCTGAGACAATACAGATGTTCATCGATTTTCAGAATTATCGGTCAAAAAATGGCTTGGGGCTGAGGTTTTAAAATATTCTAGGGGGCGCTGTGGAGGCTGTTGTCCAATTATCATGGCTTCCTGTTCAAGGGGTGGATAATGATCGATCATACTGATTTTGGTGCACCTTGGTTCAAATCTATGGAATTTAGAGCCAAACGTATGGCAACGGCGTTACATCTTCGCCACGTCGCAACGCCCACATGCTCCACCCCAAACTGTCAGTGTTGGAAAGCAAGTTACACCAACATGTCTTCGGTCACTGGACACACCATCATGCTGCTCAGGTGACAGGGGTCAGATAGGGATCGTTTAAGGTAAAACTTTACACTTCCTGTTGTCAGGGGGCGTGCCTTAAGTGATGTCATGATTTGACCATTCAGTCTTGCAGGTGACCGGATGTGGATCAATCACTGAAGGTTTGGTGTCAGAAAGTTTTCATGTAGGAGCTATTAGCGTTTCGTTTTTCATGGCGAGATTCCAAACTTTGAGATCTGGCCCCGCCCCTTCAGCATGCACGAAAATGCACCGTTTTGATATCTTTTCGTCCCCCATGCCTTTTGACCAAAATGGCCAAGTTGAAACCGAATGAGCGAAATCCCTAGGAGGAGTTCATATGCGGAGGCTGTAAACCGCCAAATTGGTGTGAAAATTGGGCCGACATTCCAAAATGGCCGTCTTCCTGGTTATCGTAAAACTTTTGTGCCAGAGGGTTTTCTGTGCATCTTGGAGAATTGGACAAGCGTACCAAATTTCATGTTTCTATGAAAAACTAAGGTTAATGCGGAGGGTATTTTGAAAATTTCCCGGTGCCGCTCTTGAGCCGTTTCTGTTGCGATGTTTGCAACGCCCTTAAAATACGTAATTTTTCACCAGTCCTGATGCGTCCACCAAATTTGGTGACTTTTAGGATATGTTAAGGCCCCCAAAACGCCAATTCATTTGATGGAAAAAAAATCGCAGCTCGGGCCTGAACAGAGCGATTACAATAGGGCTTTGTTGCTCGGGCCTAAATAGCTCCTACACGAAAACTGTCTGAGACATCAAACCTTCAGTGATTGATGCACATGCGGTCCCCTGCAAGAATGAATGGTCAAATCATGACATCACTTAAGGCACGCCCCCTGACAACAGGAAGTGTAAAGTTTTACCTTGAACGATCCCTATCTGACCCGTCACCTGATCAGCATGATAGTGTGTCCAGTGACCGAAGACATGTTGGTGTAACTTGCATTCCAACACTGACAGTTTTGGGTGGAGCATGTGGGCGTCGCGACGTGGTGAAGTAAGACGTAACGCAGTCGCCATACGTTTGGCTCTAAATTCCACAGATTTGAACCGAAGTGCACCAAAATCAGTATGATCTATCATTGTCTACCCCTTAAACAGGAAGCCATGATAATTGCCCAATAGCCTCCACAGCGCCCCCTTGAATATTTTAAAACCTCAGCCCCAAGCCATTTTGTGACCGATAATTCTAAAACTCTGTTAACATCTGTATCGTCTCAGGACCTATGAAAAAGTATTGAAGCCCTGGTCCAAAACTAACAGGAAGTTGGCCATTTTGGGTCAAAGGGTCATTTTTGGGCGTTTCTAAAAACCAATTTTAACGAACTTCTCCTAGGGATTTTGAGTGATTGCCTTCAAACTTGGTTAATATGCCCTTAACACATTGGGGAGTAAAAGTTATCAAAAGCTTGAGTTTTTGTTTATGTTAAAGGGGCGTGGCCAGGCCTCAAATTTGCGCTTCACACCATAAATTTCAAAACGCTTTAACTTTCACATTGAAAGACCGAAATGCACCAAACTTGGCTTGACTCATCCCTGTTGGATGTCCGACGATCCACTGTCGTCATATTTTGATGTCATCAAAGCCCCACCCCCTCAGAACAAGAAGTCTCTTTTTTTTTACTTGGAATGCTCCCTCTTTGACACCATTGACCTAATCAGGTTGATCTTGCGTTAGAAAACAGATGAGATGGTCTGACTTGATTTAAAGTGCAAACCGTTTTTGCTGGAGGATGTGGGCGTGGCGGCGTGGCGAATCAAGAAGTGACACCGTTGCATTACATTTGGCTCTAAAATACAAAGATTTCAGCCAAGGTGTACCAAAATCACTATGATCGATCTTTATCCACCCCTTGAATAGGTGTCCATGATAAGTGGCCAATAACCTCCATAGCACCACCTACATTATTCTTACAGTTATAACTCAGTGATACATCATTTGATCTGCACCAGATTTATTGTGCGTGATCAGTTAACACTTGTAGACACATTGATTTTGTGGTTTAACATATGACTCCAGTGCACCCCCTACATTATTGCAACAGTTATATCTCAGTGATACATCATCCGATCAGAAACAGATTTTTTGTGCATAATTGTTGTTCAACATTTGACTCAAGTGCGCCCCCTACATTATTCAAACAGTTATATCTCATTGATATATTATCCAATCTGCACCAGATTTTTGGTGCATCATTACTGTTCTAGACACATTGGTTGTGTTGTTTAACTTTTGACTCCACTGCGCCCCCAGATTATTCCAACACTTATATCTCAGTGAATTATCATCCAATATGTACCAGATTTATTGTGTGTGATCAGTGAGCACTTCTTGACACATTGGTATTGTTCTTTAACATATGACTCAAGTGCGCCCCTACATTATTCCAACAGTTCTATCTCAGTGATACATCATGCGATCTGAACCAGATTTTTTTGTACATAATCGGTGACAACGTCTAAACACATTGATATTGTTGTTTAACATATGACTCAAGTGCGGGGCGCCCCCTCTCATACTGATATGGGCGGAAGCGATTGCAATGTTTAGGCATATGCGCAACCTGGTGGACGCGTGCGCGAATGGCACAAGAGCGTTCACGACGGAGACTGGAAGGCGTTGCTGAAGCTCCCCGTCACGGGTGATGTCGAAGGTTCGGCGAATGCGCACCCCGGTGAACGGACACGGGAGGGAGTGAGATCGTTCGCTATGGCGACCGGGCGGAGTCACTGGAGCTTCCGCGGTCGCCGTAAGGCCGGAGCGGCGCTTTGCTGCGAGGGCCTTCAGTGCTGCTTGCAGCTTTAATTAAGGTTTTTTCTTATTTGAAATAAATGGCTTACTTCAACCCCTCTCAAACCATTTATCTTATGTGTTCATAATAGGACCATTTTGCTCTTCAAATGAGTGTATTTTATCTTGGAGGTGATGCACAGCAGAACGTTGTCCTGATGATAGCTCTTCTGTGTTGAGCTGTAGGTCTGTCGAACTGTTCAGTTTCTCCACTAGAGGTTTGAACAATCCTTGCTGCATTGAACACACCACTCAGTTTGGGTTGGGGGTTTTGACATAGACTGATTTGGTTTAAAATGTATTGGGATGTAGTTTGGAGAAAATCCTTCTGAGTTTCTGATACTCCACTAACATATGGGATGACAATGTTTTTGTTCTCAGTTTTGTTCTATGTTTTAAGACGTCCTCGCAGACTTGACAAAAGACCAATGATTGTATCCACAGGCTTTGAGAACTTTTTTGAGGTTTGTTTCTTTTCCTGCCTTTCTGTCCTTGTGGGCACATTCAGTCGGACAAGTTCTGATAGAAAGTTTTCATTCCAGTGGGTGGTGAGAGTCAAACAGAAGGTATTGATCTGTGAATTGGTTTTCTGTGAACAACGTTGATGAATCCATCTCTTTCCATGTGCACCAAACTGTCCAAAAAAGTCAAACTTCCAAGTTTTTTTTTGTACATATCATTAAATGTATTCTCAATATGAATTTTTTTTCTTTTCAGATTGTGGGATTCCCTTTGCATATGGCATTCTCAGAGATTCAGCCCATCGTAGAGGTGGTGTACAGCACCGGAGTTCACAGCATTCAGTCATCTAATGTTGAATTTGCTCTGGCTGTATATGTTCATCCTTACCCCAACAACGTGCTGTCTGTCTGGGTGTACCTGGCCTCACTCACTAACATGTAAGGCAGCCCAGCTTATAACGTCACTACTGCCCATCAACTTCTTTCACAATTTTTTTTGAAAATTTTACTTTTCATAAACAAAAAATAATTGCATCTATACAGCAAAGTTTTATCGTGCGACATATCACTAGTCAGTACTTATGACACCTGCTTTGTTAAATTAATGTAAATGTCCAGATATGATTAAATGGTAGCAATACTGCTACAAAACTCTTTACATGTTTTTTTTTCCCTTTGTCTGCACATAATAAACCAAAACAGACCAACTACAGTGTTTCGATTGCTCACGTTTATTAGGAGTTCAACATTGTTAATAAAGCTCAGGTGAGACTTCAGAACAAAGTAAGCCTTGCTGTGTATAATGAACAAAGTAGTACTTGGTACAGCGCTCAAACTTGATCACACTCACACCCCAACTTCCCAGGCAGGACCCCATTAGATTGCTCAAGTTAATATTTGTTCATTTTTCTTCAATGGAGTGCATGAAGACAGGGAATTTGGAAAATACAAACTTATAGGATGAAATACTAAAGATCACAAATCTAAAGCAAAACCTTTAGACTGTACAGCAACATTATGACATTATTCCTGTGTGTGCCTCTTGTGTTCACAACTTTAAATCTGCCTCCCAACAGAGTTCAATAACAACCATCAATGTCTGGGATAAACTCAGCTCCAAGCTATAGAACAGCCTGACGTGTAAATACCTAAAGCTTTACGAGCCAATAACATTAGCAGAAATTTTTCAGTACCTTGAGGGGGGTTATGTCTCAAAACCAACAAAGAAACTAGAAAGTATATTTACAGACATTTTAAACCAATTATCACCCAGTTATGTTCTTTCAGAACGATTACGTCCACTAAATTAAACATGGAAACAGTAGGAGCTGAATTACAGTTTCATCAAGAAACATGTTTAGGTGACAAAATACAACAAATGGTATTACCAGGATAAAGTGCAAGTGGGTGTGTGTGTGGGGGGGGGGGGGGGGGGGCTGAGCGGGGTCACTCTCCAGAGCGACAGCATGCTCTGAATCCACACTGCAGGTTCTGGCAGCCGCTGGCTGTGTCTGCATGAGGACCTGCAGACACACAACACACACTGGTTATCAGCTGTCTACACACACAGTTTTATTTATTTATTTTACTGCTCAAATATCAGTAAATCCTAACACAGCTAAAGGTCAAGACAATAAATCAGATTTATCATTCTGTCACAGCACCTATATACTTACCTTCTATCTCAGGTTTAGCTTCTTAAACTTAAGGCTGAGCAATTGATCAAATCTGTTGTTTCAATTTCAGCTCCAATCACAGAAAAAAAGTGTACAGTAATTGACAAAAACAAAACAAAAAAAACAACAACTAAAATGATTTTGTCCCATTTATGATCTCATTTTGTCTTGCCTCGTGAGGTTCCCTTGTGGCCCAACAGCAGTAGGCTGTCTGTGTCATGTGCAGGGGGGAGGAGAGCAGATAAGTAACACAAAGACCTACTGCAGACATTCAGAAACACACAAACAAGCCCGGATCTACCATACGGGTAACCTGAGCGTGTGCCCAGGGGCCCTTGGCCCAGAAGGGGCCCTCTGCTGCCGGTGGAATCTTTTTTCCCCCCCCCGCAACCGAGCGGGCACTGACTCCCCTCATCCGTAAAGCATCGTGAGGAAAGATAGTGAAGCTACTCACAATAACGGTCGCGATGGGGCAGTGAATTTCCGGTTTTCAAAATAAAACACAAAACCTCATAAAATTCACATCTCACCTTATTTTTGGTGCCTTTACTGTAGAAACCTTCCGGTCCGACGCCGGAAGTATCAGTACCGTGGGTTTTTTGTAAGTTATTTGTATTCATATCCTGATGCATGCTCAATAATCCAGGTAGAAAAATCTAAAAAAGTTAAATCTGGTCCTCTGGACATTCAAAAAACAAAACAAAACAAAAAAAATGTAGAAACGTTTAGTCTTTCATTCGAAAGACTTCCTCAGTCTGAGGTGCTGTATTCAGCTCAGTCTTATAAATAGCACCTTCTGAGAGTGGATCAACCAGTTTGCTGCTGACAACATCAAGAAGGACCTTCGGCCTAACGATGGATCATTAGCACACTGATGGCTGTTTACTATTCACAGGAGGCTGAGTGATACTAGCAATAACGGCATTGTAAGAGGGGGACAGTTGAACCCGGAGGCCTCCACCCCTGTTTAATGATGGACAATTTCTTTTCACAAAGATGGACTCCTTTACTCCTCTCTCAAACCATTGTTCCACTCTGTCCAGGATGTGAACATCTTCATCCCTGAAAGAGTGACCGCTGGCCTGGAGATGAGTGTAGACTGCAAAGTCCTGGCCTGATGATGTTGCTCTTCTGTGCTGGGCCATCCTTTTGGCCAGTGACTTTAGTTTCCCCTTATTTGTATTCAGTTTATCAGCGCAAACGTTGTTTTTGTTTAAACGTAAAGTTTACTAAAATGTCCTACTTATTTTACTGCTCAAATATCAGTAAATCCTAACACAGCTAAAGGTCAAGACAATAAATCAGATTCAGGTACCTGCTGTGCTGTTCGCAGCTGCACGAACAACCAGACCAAGCTAAAACTACAGCAAACAGTGTTTTGAACATGGACCCAGAAGAAACCACTCAAAACACTGTTTAAGTGCTCATTTCACTTTGTAAACCAACAGCCAACGAACTCTCCGAGTATCCACTCAGAGTTTCATAAATTTGCATCCTGCCTACAAAAAAGAAAAAGACCAGAAAAAACTTCTAAAGGTAAGAGCCATTGTGCTTTCTGTGAAGTGAGTAGGCCAATAAACTGTTGTGATTGTGCAGATAACAGTGCTGGTCATAAATTTTGAATATCACGAAAAGTTTATTTCAGTAATTCCATTCAAAAAGTGAAACTTGTATATTATATTCATTTAATACACACTGACTGATATATTTCAAATGTTTATTTCTTTTAATGTTGATGATTATACCTGACAACTAATGATAACCCCAAATTCAGTATCTCAGAAAATTATAACATTACTTAAGACCAATAAAAAATATATATTTTTTAGAAATGTTGGCAAACTGAAAAGTATGAACATGAAAAGTATGAGCAGGTACAGCATTCAATACTTAGTCCGGAGCTTCAGTGCCCAGGGGCCCCTGGGGTTGCAACTCTGGCCCTGCACACAAAGCAGTAAGTTTATAATAAAAACTGCTTTTAGAACACGTGTGAATTAAGACAACTATTCTGTAGGGCTGGGTCATATATCGCTCACGATAATATCAGTAAAAAAAGCTTGCCCAGGCAAAAAAATGATATCATGATATGCTAATTTCATGACATAAAACGTCAGGGCGCCCCGCCCCTTTAACAGAAACGAGCGCACCGAACGACCAAACCGAAATGCGCACCTCCCTCCACCTGTCGGTACTGGCGTAACGTTAATGAGCTGCGCGCAATAATAGCTAGCTAAAAACAAACGACGCGCGGCTCAGCTTTCTCTCCATCCAGCTCTAAACTGCAGGTACAAAACAAGACAACTGTCTCTCCTTCCCCCCGCTCTAAGCTGCCACTCGTCTTTTTTTCTCTCTCTCCGCACCCCGCTCTAAACTGCCGGTACAAACACGCACAGGTCTGTCTCTTTTTAGATCCACAGTCCAGGGACCAAGAACAGAGTCAGGTGATCAGAGACGGAGCATCAGAGAAATGAATCATTCCTGCAAGAACAGAGGAAGCTGAAACACTACAAGCTGATACATATACATATCTATACACATACATACATATATATACATATATATACACATACATACACATACATATATATACATATATATATACATATATATACATATATATATACATATATATACACATATATACACATATATATACATATATATACATATATATATACATATATATACATATATATACACATATATATACATATATATATACATATATATACATATATATACACATATATACACACATATATACATATATATACACATACACACACATACATATATACACATACACACACATACATATATACACATACACACACATACATATATATACATACACATACATACACATACACATACATACACATACACATACATATACATATATATACACATACATACATATACATATATATACACATACATACATATACATATATATATACACATACATACATATACATATATATATACACATACATAC